TCCACATCTTCCAGTCCATCTGGGCTCAATGTCTACTTGCGTCAAACGTCAAGCTGAAATTTGGGAAGGCAAGCTTGTCAAAGGAGATGTTATAGTTTCCAATCATCCTGAATATGGAGGAACGCATCTCCCTGATATTACTGTTATCACTCCTGCTTTCAACCCGGCCGGTGATAAAATTCTTTTCTACGTCGCTTCTAGAGCCCATCACGCTGACATTGGTGGTATTCTCCCCGGTAGTATGCCTCCACATTCAAGAGAATTATACCAAGAAGGAGCCGCAATCAAGTCTGAGAAACTAGTTAGCGCAGGTCACTTTAATGAGGAAAGAATGATACAGCTTCTTCTTGACGAGCCTGCACAATATCAAGGATGCAGTGGTACACGATGTTTGGCAGATAATATCTCGGACCTCAAAGCTCAAATTTCTAGCAACATGAAGGGCATCAATCTTATCAGTACTTTGATTGAGGAATATGGCGAAGAAGTGGTAAACTTCTATATGGTTAATATCCAGAATAATGCCGAGCTTAGTGTGAGAAATCTCCTGAAAGATGTTAGCAAGCGATTCGAAGGACAAGATCTATCTGCAATCGATTATATGGATGATGGCAGCCCGATCCAATTAAAGATCACAATCGATGCCGAAAAAGGAGAAGCCGTATTCGATTTCGAGGGAACAGGTCCAGAGGTATACGGTAAGTACTCCGCCAACATCCTAATCTCCCTCCTCACCAACTAACAACCCTCAAGCAAACACCAACGCCCCCCAAGCCGTAACTTACAGCGCAATTATCTACTGTCTCCGCAGTCTCATCAGTGAAGACATCCCCCTCAACCAAGGCTGTCTCAAACCCATCACCGTCCTCATCCCACCCAAATCCTTCCTCTCTCCCTCAGACAAAGCCGCCGTCGTCGGCGGCAACGTCCTCACCTCTCAACGCGTCACAGACGTCATCCTCCGCGCCTTCCGCGCCTGCGCCGCCTCCCAAGGCGACTGCAATAATCTCACCTTCGGCTTCGGCGGCAACGTCGACGGCCAGAAACACGTCAAGGGTTTCGGATACTACGAAACCATCGCCGGTGGAAGCGGTGCAGGAAAACACTGGGACGGAACAAGTGGTGTGCATACGCACATGACGAATACGCGAATTACAGATGCGGAAGTCTTCGAACGCCGCTACCCGGTCTTGTTGAGAGAATTTTCTCTCCGCGCTGGAAGTGGAGGGGAGGGAAAATACAGGGGTGGAGATGGAGTCATCCGCGACATTGAGTTTAGAATCCCGGTTCAGGTGTCTATTCTAAGTGAGAGAAGGGTCTACAGACCGTATGGGCTTGAGGGGGGCGCAGACGCACAATGCGGTCTGAATATTTGGGTGCGGAAGGTTGCGAAGAGCGATAGGGGGAGATCGGATTTATTGTTGCGGGAATCTGCGTCTCGGGAGAAGAAGGAAGAAGAAAACCAAGAAACACAATACGAAGAACGCAGGATCAATCTCGGGGGTAAAAATACCGCCGCGATGAAAGCTGGAGAGCGCATCATTATCCATACCCCTGGAGGTGGGGGATGGGGAAAGGTCGGCGAGGAGAGGGAGGCCGATCAGAGGAGCGATCCAAAGGCGGCGTGGAAGGGGGGGAGTTATGCTAGTAGGGAGGAGATGGCTTTGCAGGCGTGATTTTTTTGATGGGATGGGGATAGGGAAGTTTATTTACAATATTATCTAATAGTCATCACAACGAGTATACTACTACTATATCGATGGAGTGAGCAAGTGAGTGCAATACAACATGTTGTTTAATATTTAACGCAGCTGTAGTATTTTCATGAAAAACGCGCTTTCTCATAATCAAATCAAATCATCAAGAATCCACCCTTTTCCTTCTCTCTCATGAAGTGAAAATGACTACCAATGCTTTTCTAATGTCCTACAGCCATTGATTCGCCTGCACGCACTTTTTACTAACTATCATCACTAGCATCGCTATCATAATTTCTTATCATCCACCCATCCATATATCGATCGATTGGGAATTCCGCCGTCCTATCCCATCGTATCTCATCCCATCCCACCACATCACCCAATTTACTGCATCTTCTCGGCTGTCGCCATCAAAGAACCTAGAAGGAAAAGTTAGAACTCTCATTTCCACAAGGCCAATCTATAGGGGAAAGAAAGAAAGAAACACAAAAAACAAACATACCAATAAAAGTAACCACCAAGCGACTTCTAACTTGACAGATATCCTCCGGAACCAACCAAATTGTCGCTCCCATCTTCCTCGCAATACTGATACTCAACTTAGCATTCATGTAAGCATCATCCTCGGTTCTTCCTGGGGTCACGAGATCGTAATCAACGTAACTGCTCTTCATTCCGTTCAGAACATCGAGGAGGAAGACACCGGTTCCAATTGATTGATCCTTGAAAGAGCGAATGGTAGAACTCTTTCCACCCTTCTGTGACATGTTGTTTGCCCACTTGATCATTTCTGCATCTGAAATTTCGCGCTTGCCAAGACGTTGAGCGAGGGCTGTGAGGGTTTCGGAGATATCTCTACGCATCAATTGCCAGACAAGACCAAGAGTGAGAGTTCGTTGACCATCGTAAATATCTGCTCCTTGAACACCGACCAGAGAGAAACGGTTTTGTTTTCCGAGCTCAATAGCGTAGTTTGTGTTTTCTAGAGCCTTGAATCTCGACATCTCTCCACTAGCAGGCACCTTGTTCACATGACGCCAGTTTACAGAGCCCTTAATAACCTTGTCGTATGCCTGCAAAATAATAGTACCATCTTTGAGATCTTCGTATAACGAGTTTACACCTGGTTGCACATCAAGACTGTTCAACCAGAGAGTGAAGACTCTTGCTTCTCTCTCACCCTCAGCATCGAAATCATCAACCTGGGCCTTTTCTTCCTCGGTGATAGGATCCAGTGCTGGGCGGGTATTGAAGAGATTGGCAACGAAAGCCAAGTTCAACTTAGGGTTTCCTGCCACAAGGGAGCTAGGTGTAAGGAACTTCCGGCAGTCTAATTTATCGGCGTTCTGTAAAACTTGCTCTGCTCTCTGATGAAGATCGCGTGTTTGTAATGGTGCTCGGTCGCAACACTCCGGCGCAATCTGAGATAGGAGAACAGTATAGTTTTCAGCATCCTTTACATCGCTGGAAAAGTTTGCAACTCTAATAGAATGTTAGTAAGCTCTAGATACTCTTGAGATTGATCTTACCTTCGTGGCCAATTTGCAGCCTTCAAGTGATAATTGACCCATCTGAGTAAGATTTGCTCGGGAGGCAATCTCAAAAATTGTTCCAGTGTCTCGTCGTCTTCCAAGAGTCTGTACAACTCAGGATGAAGCTTGATATCAATCTTATTCAACAGACCTCTTCTGATAACCTGCCAAATCAGACCCAAAATCAAATGTTCTCGAACTTCGATAATATCTCCACTACCAATGTTGACCACCGAGCAACCAATACCCTTCGCAGATTCAATAACAATGTTGTTGTTCTCAGTCATATGGAATGCGTTAAGCGTCTTAATCTTCCTTCCGGGGCGATTCAATACACGCTCATCAATAGTATCCGGTACACTGTCGTTGATCAATTTGGCCAACACGAGACCATCCTTGCACTCGTCGAACATCTCAAAGGTATCTGTAGGAAATGGTAGACGCGAGCCAATATCTGCGTCGCCTGCCAACACTGCGTTGATATGGCGGGTAAATTCTGTTCGCTCATCTTCGTTGATGGTATGGGTAACGTTCGATGAAGATCCTTGGACTTGAATACGACCGCTGACGCTTCCCTTTGAAGCATGCCCGCTTCCAGCTCCTCCGGTTTGTTGCGATACAATTCCGCCACGAGCAGGACTCTGTGGACCAGTTGACATGCGCTGCTGTGCTGGTGAAGAGACGCGGAGTTTTGAGATAAGCTTGGATATGGTTAGTCGACATTCTTCAATGTGCCAGATAAGTGTTTGCCTAAACTTACTCCTACATAATCTTCCAGCTCGACTCTTCGAGATGAATCAAGCTCGACCTCTTTCAAAGCTTGTCTAACAACATCGTATGGTTGTCTTTCACTGCCTTGTGTGGCTTTGATAGCAGTAGCCTCGTCAATGTATCCCTTGTCGTCAACGTCGAGTTTACGGAAAGCATCTTGGAGACCAAAGATCTCATCTTGTTGGAATTGAGGATACTTCCTATAAATCAAAGCGGGTTAGACAAACGCAGCCTCGAACTAATTAATAGCTCTGTTGGATTGTTCACATACCTCTGCAACTTAATGATATTCATCTTTGCGGTTGTTATTCTGGTCTTGACTTTCGCAGTCGAAAAGACTTGAATTGTTGGTTCCGTAATTCAGGAGGCAGGTTGAGGTACCTATCGGTATTAGGTAGCTGTGGATACCCCTCCCAATTTACGTCGCTATAAATACTGATGCCGGCGCAAGATGCTGCAAAACACGTAACAATTGTGAACGGTATCAAGACAATAATTGTTTCTTTGTTGGAATTGGGTTATAGAGGAAGGAGAGGAAGCAGAAGTGAAATGTTGGATTCTTTCCAGGGTTTATGGAGGAATTTTGAGTTCAAATTATGGCTCAATGCATATCCATATGTGAAATTGATATGATGCGATGCACAGCCCAAACCCCGCTGACGTTTCTGGACAGCGGTTGTCTCGCACTCGTAATTTCGTACAGCCGGTCTCTCGTATCTGTCTTCCAATTTCGGGATTTCCAGCTGGTAATTGATCACCGTCCGTTTTGTCCGTTCTGTCCGTTCTGTCTCTCTCAAGGTTCTCTTGATTTCCTTGATATTCTTCAGCAATCGCTGCACATCTCCATTTCCATTTTCATCGCCTTGGGCTTTTGATACAGGTAAATGCAGATCTACTATATCCTATATCCCAAGACTTTGTTATACGCGTATACGTACATTTTCGCCATTGCTGACGACTCCCCCTTCGCCGCATTTCAGGCAACTGATTATATACAATGAACCCCGTCGCAATGGATAACCCATCGGAAGAATTGATCCACGTCAAGAAAGTATGGGATAATATGAAAGGCAACAGTCCCATTTACGACTTCCTTCTCGCAAATGTGGAAATCATATCGGCTACAAAAGGTCTGGTTGTCTCGCGCTTGACGGTTGAAAACAATCATGTCAATTCTCGAGGTACTATTCACGGTGCAGTGAGTGCAAGTTTGGTCGATTGGTCTGGAGGTCTTGCCATTGCTTCACACGGATTGGAGAAGTCTGGGGCGAGCATTGATATTCACGTCACTTATATTGGGACTGCTCAATTAGGGGATGTCTTGAATATTGAGGCCACCGCGTCGAAAGTTGGAAGATCACTTGCTTTTACCACGATTAGAATCAGTAAGCTAGTCGATGGCCAGCCAGGACCTATGGTAGCCACAGCATCACATACAAAATACATACAGACCAAGTGAGGAAGGGTGGGCAGATGGGTGGCCAACGGAAGTGGTAGGGAATGCGAATGGTAGAGCATAGATAGAGATAGATAGGGATAAATCATCAATACCGCCGTCTTGTTGGAGGCTGGCATGAGATACAAACTCTATGCATGTTCGGTCTCATTCGAATGGCGAAAATAGGACTGGCCTTCTTGAATATTTAGATTTGAATGTCCACTCATTGCATGACTTTGCGTGGTGTTCCGGGTATCTAGTTAGAAGACGACGACAAAATGGAAGAGAAACGTTCAGACGATAAGAAAATTTTAGATTGTGACTTTTTTTTTTGCTCCCCGCTATTAAAGTAAAGACCTTCAACGATTCTACATGAGAATTTTTATTTCAAAACACAACCACTTGACAACTTTTTAATAATTCAATACCAGAACTATTTACTCTTCTTGATTTGATTTTATTTTATACAAACATGGATACCTGTAAACTCTGCTCGGAAAGTTTGACCGTCCAACTCGACCCAGAGGAGTTGGAGCAACCTGAGGGTGGAAGCTCTTCTATGGGAAGCGTTCCAGATGACCTTCAGTTGATTTGCGGATGTCATATGCATTGGTAAGAATATATTTTACCTGTTCTCGGTCTGAAAGTTCAAGCTTAATTCTATTTCCTTTCATAATACCTGGAACTTGCAGCATTGAAACTGGATGCACATGTGGAACATATTCGTTGCATGGAACACCAGAAGTTAGCTTGAAGATAGTTCTTCGAGGGGTATATTGTACATCTCCCATTGGATGCATTCATTTCTTACCATAATCATTCAAATCACACACAAGAAAGTACCTCTCAAGGGACACCGCTCTCTAGCGTTTGCCATGATGGTGTTTGGCCAACGGATTCGCCTCTGACCTCACAGAGATAACTCTTGTTTTTCACGTGTCGTCCTGTGCTTCATCATTCGAGCATATGAAATTTGCCATTGATCTACAGACTTCATCAGTTGACTTACTAACTCCAACATAGGCAATGTCTCTTGGATGAATCTCCTCAAATTTTGAATAAGCTCCATTGTCCATCGTGTGATAGTTCAATTGCAACTTCAGTGGCTTCAGCTTCAAGAGCAGTCTCCGGAACCCGAGTTCCTACGAGATATCACAATGAGGGAGGAGTTCAAGAAGACCTTGACATCTTATCTCTTATCACTGAAGAGGCCTATCTCGATGAACACCCAGAAGCACGTCCCGCTCGAGCATTCATGACGATGTGTGCCGAGGGTGATGTTTTTGGAATTAATGATCTACTCAGTGCAGTAGATGATGACGAGGATGGAGAAGGGCTATCAGCAAAGCCAATTCTGCGCTATCAAGACCCTTTGGATGAGATGAAAAGTGGTTTGCATGTGGCGGTTGAAAAAGGACAGGAAGAAATCATCTGGCTGTTGTTATGGCTCGCTTCAACTCTTCCAACCGATATCTTCCCGGAACAAATCACTCAAATGGCGGAGACGATGGGTGTAGGACGTGATACTGCTGATGGAGAAGATATCCGGAATCTTCGGGATGCTCAGGGACAATTGGCAAGCGATCTGGCAAGAAATACTGGCAATGTTCTTCTTACCGATTTATTATCGGCGAACTTGCCTTGATCTGATAGGTTGTTTGATGTAAATATAGAAGGGGAAAAAGCGATGGATTTATATTCTACACACTAGTAGATTGGGACTGCCGTGGATATTCTAAGTATGCACACAATGATTAGAAATGATTCTCCATTGCTGCCGGTAGTTGTGATATGTATACGTGACGATGGGCACATACTTAGGTAGGTAGATAGCTCTTATTAGATTCTAGGGGATCTAGACAGGGCTGAAGGGGTAATGGTACGCTGGGAACGGAACATGGCTCGGACGGCCGGCCCCTACAGACTCCGTGAATTTACGTCATTTTAATCCAATTTAGCATTAATAAGCCTTAATACTAAGTTTACGAGGGGTCCAGTGATATTATAATAATTCCTAGGGACTGGGTAAAAGTATGGGTAAAAGTATGGGCAAAAGTGTGGGCAAAAGTGTGGGTAAAAGTACCGTCAGATGCCTAGATTGTCATTTTAGACTTATTACCAGGTACTAGGTACTCCACATGATGCAGCTACCTAGGCCTTAAATTACAGTTCCGAAGATTCCTAAATCATTCGAACCTTTCTTCTTTTATCAATCTGATCCCTAATTGAACATCACACATCACTTGACAAGTGGCCGATCTGATCTCTTTCCATGTACGGACCAAAATGACTTTCCTATGATGTGACTCAACGATTGTTATATTCATGAATCTAACAAAGTTCATCGGCCTTTCTTCGTGCGATGTGCGATATCCATACGCCATATGCCATATGCCAAGCTTCATCACGCCCCTCAATTCTCTACAGTGAGTACATCAGACTTACAGTAAAGAGGTCTCAGGTAAGAAGGGTTAGGACTTAATCATCAGTCATGCCATTCGGAGACTTGGGAAAATGACAATGTGCGCGCGAGATACATACTGCTTCCGTTTCTCCTGTACCTTTCCGGTATTTCCATCTCTATCGCGCTTTTTCTTGATTTTGTGTATCTAGTCGGCATCTAATTAGTACCAAGCTATTGTTTCAAAGGTATAGATATTATAAGTCTTTTATTTTCCATTTTCTGTTGACAATCAAATTATTTTCTTCCATTTATTTTCTATCAATCTTCTAAACTTGTACCTGCATCCTGCATAGCACCGGCATTTACCTATTCAGCCTCAATATATTTCCTTCTTCGGACAACATAGCAATTTGAGCCATTTGGATTGATCTGCTCGAGTACCGAATAGCAATACCTAGGTATACTTTGAGACGTTAAAGTATCGGCCTTCTGCAGTATTACCTGCTTCTAGGTTATCGACAAACCATTGAGGTTGAAGCATGATTTATACTGAGCATTGAGGTACGACTAATAAGCAATCATTTGGGAACAGCCTTGCTACAGGTTCGCTGTCATTATCTCTCTTATTCTGGGATACCGAATAAGTTTGATACCGCATCGAAGAAAGTTTGCAGGAAGTTCGCAGGAAGCTCTAGGCTAACATTCTACTAGTTAATCCCCTCTCTTGCGCCTCTTGAGACGAACTAGATCTCCGAATATAAATTCCAATAACCTTCCCTCGTCCTGGAACACACCTTCTCTCAATAGCTTGACAAGATGGTTAGAATGGCATCCACGACTGCCCCCCCTCCCATGACCATGCCCTCTCTCTCAGATCCAGCACACCCAACCCAAAATCCATTAGATAAACACTCGAGGGAAAATGGCGTTGGCAACTCCAAAACAATACAAACACCCAAGTCTCCCAGTCGCCCTGAATATTCGCAATCTTTGAAAACGGCGTTGGAAACGGTTGATAGAAATCGGCGAGAGTCTTCGGAGGTATCGGAGAGTGATAGTTTGGAGGATTATGATACCTTGAAACCAGATCCGACGTCCATAATCACAAGGGGAAAGAGTGGAATCCTCGACACCGATATTGATATGCCGGAAATACCACAGACGGTATATGCAGAACTAAAAGTTCAGTCCCAGAAATCTTGGCAAGGCACGAGAAGGCGCAAAAGTATTCCGGTGACTCTGAATAAGCTTCAGAAAAATGGACAAGGAATTTATACTTTCGAAGCAGATGACAATGAGCTACGGGATCTTCTAAAAGGCACTGTTGCGCATTATGCACAAGATATCGCGTCAGGAGGATCAAAGAAACGGACAAAATTCAGTGACTGTGAGTTTTTTCAAACTACGAATATATTAAAAGAACGAGAGGCCATCGAGTGATGTTAAATGGATATCGTACATAGACGAAACTGCAGAATAACTCGTTGCTAATTGACTCGAACAGTGGTTTTTACCAAGAAGTTTACTGCCTTCGATCGACACAACAATATCGTTGCCGACTCACCTTTCCATGGCTTCTTTACATTAGGCTGGCTGGCGTTTGTCGTTTTCGTACTCCAACTTGCCTTTGCGAATTGGCGAGTGCATGGAAATATACTTGGTACCAACGAAATCATGGAAATGATGTTCCACCGAGACGTCATAGTTCTTGGTCTGTCTGATGGTGTGATGTGTTTCTCTACGGGTTTTGGACTTGTTTTACAGAAATTAATACACCGAGGATATATTGACTGGAATAGAGAGGGTTGGATCATTCAGAGTGTGAGTCTATCGTTCGATTAACAGAGGAGATTGGATAATTTACTAAATGTAATTTTGTGCAGGCTTGGGAAATTCTATATCTCTCAATAGTAATAAGTTGGACACTGTTTCGCGAGTGGCCGTGGACACATACAGTAAGTGACTAATTTCGGGTTAAATCCAATTATGTTCTCGAATTGATCCGTGTACTACTTCGGAGAAATGACACTCTTTGATCTTTCCCCTGACTCATTCGCTTACAACATCCCTTCGGGTAGGTCTTTTTTGTCCTTCATGGAATTGTCATGTTAATGAAACAACACTCTTACGCTTTTTATAATGGTCACCTATCAGAACAATACAAGACTCATTCTAAGCTTCAACGTAAATTGAAGCAGCTTGATGATATTTCGCCCATCCAGACACCTTCCGCGACAACACCAGCCGCTTCCTCATTGTCTACTTCTTATCTCGATGCTAGACCTACGTCCGATGACGTCTACCAGAGGGTTTCCGATCGAAGGCGTTCTATTGTCGACTCTGCTACTGACCAAGTAGCTGCTGCAATTGACTCTGGTGAGCCTCTTGATGTTGATCAAGTCCAGACGTTTGCACGAATTCTTAAATGGGAGATCGATTTCTTGGGTAAAGAACTCGAAGGAAAATGTACGACAACCAAGAATCAGTACCCGAATAATCTCAGTTTAGTCAATCATTACGAGTACATCGTTCTTCCAACTTTGGTTTACGAACTAGAATATCCACGATCCGATGATGTCGATTGGTATAATGTAGCCGAGAAAAGTATTGCGACGGCTGGTCTCTTGATCGTCATGAACCTTATTTCGCAAACTTATATCTATCCTATCGTAGTTAAAACGATCAAGATGAAAGAATCAAATCTAACATCTCTCGAGCGCCTCCGTCATTTCCCGGGTATAGTCAGCGACTTGGCCTTCCCATTTCTGGCTGAGTACATCTTGACATGGTATGTGATTTGGGAATGTATTCTCAATCTCCTCGCCGAATTAACCTGTTACGCCGATCGAGGCTTTTATGAAGCCTGGTGGAACTCGGTATCTTGGGATCAATTCGCACGCGATTGGAATCGACCGGTTCATAACTTCCTTTTGCGACACGTTTACCATTCTTCGATTTCGAGTCTGAGAGTCGATAAAAAGACGGCGACACTTATTACTTTCTTCTTGAGCGCTTGTGTTCATGAGCTTGTTATGTGGTGTATCTTTAAGAAACTGAGGGGATATTTACTGGTGTTGCAGATGTGTCAGATTCCGTTGACGATTATGAGTCAAACGAAGTGGATGAAGGGGAAGAAGACGTTGGGGAATGTACTTTTTTGGATAGGGATTTTTACCGGACCGAGTCTTTTGTGTAGTCTTTATTTGGTCATTTAGATGGTTTGATGCTTGGATTTATGTAGATTATGGGCATTTGGCATTTGGCATGAGGGCATGGTTAGGTGTTTGGGGTTCTCACTTCTTTGATATCATTCATGGCTTGGAGAAATGGTTTTGCGGGTGGGCATTGGATGATGATTGTGACTGTGGTTATGATTATTATGGCGATTATGACGGCAATGTACGTAATGTTTGTGATATGATATTAGAACTTCTATTCAGTATGGTCGTACCTCGTAGAGATTGCGGGGTGGGAAATTAAAATATAAGGAGTTGATGAATTCTTCTGGGATCTTTGAGATTTTTTCGATATCTGGGTACCTTGTGGAGGAGAGAGTAAGGTGAATCGTGAATCGTGAGTCGTGATGAGTTTTGTGTGCTATGTGAGGGAAGTGATTTTTGTGTAGGTATGTAGGTAGGGATTTGGGATTTGCTAGGATACGTTTTGATAGATAGGCTCTTATGATAAGAAGTAGGTAGATATTTGAGTTGAGATTGATCAATATTGTTTACATGATGCTCAAGTTTGAGTGTGAGAGTAAGTATTGGTGGGTTTGGGGAGGTTGAGTAAATTGTGTGTGTGGTTAGATAGGGGGGGAGGGAGAGATGGGGAAATGGGGAGATGGGAGGGGGAAATTTGAAGGGTTTATGTGTGGGGTTTGTTTGGGTGTGTGGATGGATGTATGTATGTATGTATGTAGGATTATGGGGTGAAATTGCGGATGTGTGGTGATTAGTATTACCGAGCTGGTGCTAATAATAAATAGATATCTAATAGACCTGATGGATTTGTGAAAGAATCAAAAAATCGATTGATTGGTGAGTGTTCCTTGTTAGGTGATCTTATGTATGGAGTTTTAGGATTAAGGCTATTATAATTTACGAAGTATAGAGTAAATCCTCATGAGATAGCTACTGGGTCGCAGGGTGTGACGCCATCCTAGTAATCTTAGCTAGGTATCTAGGTATAGTATAGTATTGACTAAACATGGAGTAGAATTCCACTCTCTCAACATGAATCATTCCCCCAACCCCAAGCCAACCCCATCCCACCATGCAACCACAAGCTCCCCGCCTCATAAGCCCATTCCCCATCCAAGACCCTCGCTCCCACACCCGCTGGCAAGCCCTCATACACCGCACCCCCGCTTTCCACTCCTCCTTCCTCTACGGCGTCACATCTACCAAGATCTACTGTCGTCCCACGTGTTCGGCGCGCAGAGCTCGCAGAGCTAATGTGGTGTTTTTTGATACTCGTGAGCAGACCCGCGAAGAGGGGTATAGAGCGTGTAGAAGGTGTAGGCCGGATGAGGAGGGGTTTATGGAGGAGGGAGAGGAGATTGTGGAGAGGACGATTGGACTTTTGAGGGAGGGGGGTGGGGGGAGGGGAGTAGGGAGGTTGGCGAGGGAGATGGGGGTTTCGAGGAGTTGGCTTTGTAGGGTTTTTAAAAGGGTGATGGGGGTTACGGTGGGGGAATATGGGAGGGGGTTTGAGGGGGAGGGGAGTGGGGAAGAGGGGAGAAGGAGAGGGGAGGGAGAGGAATGTTGATATGAGTGGTGGGGGTGGAGAAACTCAAATTGTGATGTCGGAACAGATAAAGACAGCTGGGTTTGCTGGAGATGCATCTGTTGAGTGTGTGAAGGGTAGATCGGTGGAGGAGAATGGCAGAGATGATGAGGATGCTCTGGATTTGGATTTGAATTTGGATTCCAATTTTAGTTTCGATCAATGGTTCGAGAATGAATACACTCTGAGTAACGGTATCTACGGACGAGATGTCGAGGATTATTCTGTATTGCCGATGATGGCTTGAATTGGGACAAGCAGAATTGTTCTTCTTTACCTACTTACTATTTTTTAGATGTTACACACTCTCCTTTTCATGGTTTTTCTTGGCTTTTTTGTTTTTTGACTCTTTCAATGTGTATGATTCTCTCTCATATAGCTATCTAGCTACTAACAAACAAACAACTAAAATACCACCCCCATTTCTCCACATCAATAACCTCTGCAACCAAGTCGTCAGGATCAAACCCTTGTATGCAGACTCTAATTTGCTCGTCCGATCTGACCCAAGCACTAATTCAACTCTAACTTGTGGAGCTTGAGACTAGGTGAGCTGAGATCCGATGGAGTTGAGAATACCGCTAGATTGGAGATGTAGTTCTAGAGGCTTGATTCATGGTATATATGGCCGTGAACTGTAGATACTTAGGTATCTATTCATTATCAACTGCTAATTGTTTCTCCGCACAGCTATATCCAAAAATCAAAAATCAAAGTGGAAGTTGATAATTTAATATTGGTTCCAGTGCGCTCTTACATACCATACCTACTTTCAATCGAGATGAATGGATGGATGGATGGATAGGATTGCAAGCTTGCATGTCATGATCGACACATTGGTGATATATACATCAATACATGAATACATCAATAGCTCTCAACACCAGCTTTACTGTGGGCTCAAACTCAACTCATTCATTGATTCTGGATCTTGATATGCGGGCTTTCGTCTGGTATTTCTCCATATCTGAGCTCGATTTCTGGACTATCGTGGTATCTCTGATATTTGTGATGGATGGGTCGAGAAGAGATTGTGCTATTTATTTGTGACGAGAATTATTGTTTCCCTATTGTGAGATTGATTGATTATTTGATTGATGGGGTATGTGTTGGTGGTTATTTGTATCTTCAGAGTTATATTATGAAGTCAACTTCCAGGTATATAATAAGAGTAAAAAGGAAATGTGATCAAAATAATCCTATTTTCTACTCTATCTCAATATCAAATAATCTGAAATGGAACAAGTAAAGTCATCTCACAAGAAGCGATCCAATATTGATAATCCGGTTGTACGATTGAAATTCAGGATAAGGTGTGAGCTATTATTGCTGATTGGCCAATTTGAGTACACTCGCTTCGAATCCACAGCAAGCGCTTGTCGTTGATAGGTCACTTTGAGTACAATACGCTAAAAGTTCAAGAGGCACTGGAGTGTTGAATGTCCACCCCTCATGGCTTATAAGGATGATGTTACTCTTTCAGCAATTCAAAGCGGATTTGTTTTAATAAATCTCACTTGGCCCAACGTGCTTGTCAATCAGAGACATACGCCAAGAATTGCATCATCATATTTTGTTGCGTTTCCATTCGACACATTAAGTCTTTCGAAGTGAAGCACTGGGGAACAGACAATGGCATCGAGCTCTGAGCACGGCTTGTCACAGGCTACTCGTTCGCAAATTACAGATGACGAGAGATGGACTTTCGCTGACGAAACAGATTCTTCTCCTGATATTGAAAGGCCCTCGGTTCCTCTCCCTACGGCGGCCAACTCAGTGCCAATTGATGGCGAAATTACTTATCCCGAAGGGGGTTGCGATGCCTGGTTAGTGGTTCTAGGTGCTTGGTGTGGTTTAACCGCATCGTTAGGTATTTATAATACAGCCGGAGTATTCGAGGTCGTCATCTCGGAATCTATATTACCCGGAGAATCTTCCTCTACGCTCGGCTGGATATTCTCAATCTATGCTTTCGTGAACTGGATCTGTGGAGTACAAATTGGACCAACTTTTGATGCGATGGGTCCTCGTGGATTGCTCATTGCAGGAACTATTTGCACACTCATTGGAATCTTCGCGCTTAGTTTTTGTACAGGTAATATTAGTTTCCTGTACCGCTGCACGCATAACACATCCTAGTATAATGGCTGCTCCGAAGGTCGCTTAATCGCTTGCTGCTAAATCTGCTCCTATTGAGGTCCTTCTGATCTTCTCGAGGACTCTGTTCAGTACTAACTGTGATACAGAATACTATCAGATCGTTCTATCATTCTCCATACTGACTGGTATCGGCTCATCTCTTCTCCTCACCCCATCCATGGGCTGCGTTGCTCATTGGTTCATGGAGCGTCGCGGTCTCGCTAGCGGCATAGCATTTGTAGGAGGTGGTTTTGGTGGCGTTCTATTTCCCCTCATGATACAGTCACTCCTCCCTCAAGTTGGGTGGGAATGGTCGATTCGGATTCTCGGGTTTGTGCTGCTTGTACTTTGCGCCATGAACGTGACATTTTGCCGAAGTAGAGTTCCACCTCGTAAAGGAGCTACAACTACTTGGCGAGATACATTACCGGACCCACAGATCTTCATGGACGGAACAGGAGCCATGGCTATTACCACTACTGGAGTCCTGTAAGTGTCGATTTCTCAGCACAAATATCCCATTTCCGTGATTGCTCCAGAGATTGTGATACAATGTGCCTACAACTTCTGGAATTTTCTAATACTCCTGAAAGCATATATACTAGGCATACTAATTTCAAGATGTTGAACTATAGTTTGACAGATCTGGCATATTTCATACCCATCACATATATGCCAAGCTACTACATCGATCGACAACATCTGTCTCAAGAAGAGGCCTTGACTGGATCAGCGGCATTTGCATATCGACTTCTTGCGATCCTCAATGCTGCTTCATGCATTGGCCGATGCATAGCGGGCGACCTGGCCGATCGATTTGGACGATACAATACTATGATTGTCTCATTGTTCCTCTGCACAATATCAGTTCTATGTTTTTGGTTACCAGACGTACTCCTACTCAACCTAAGTAATGACGCGCTCTTAGTGATCTTTGTGCTACTATTTGGATTTGTTAGTGGTTCCAATGTCAGTTTGACACCAATTTGTTTAGGCCAGCTCTGCGAAACTCAAGAATACGGGCGATACTACGCAAGCTGCTTTACGGTAGTAGCTTTTGGTGTGTTGGGAAGCATCCCTATCGCTGGGGGCCTTCTTGATGTGGTAGAGGCTACAGGCAAAGAAAGGTATTGGGGCGCCGCTCTTTTCACCGGACTTAGCTATGTGGCTGCCCTACTGTGTTTTATATGGGTCAGGATCAAAGTAAAGGGGTGGGGTTGGAGGACAAAGTGGTAGAGTGAACCTTGCAGCGTTATAAGCAGGGCTAGCTTCTTCCTTTCCGCCTACTGGGCTTTGCCCCTCTCGCGGGGCAATCTGAGATTTACCTTTGTGATCGACTTATTATGCTTCGGTTGCACATGAGATTGAGGAAAATCGGTGTATTGAAGAGGCTAATAATATTTCATCATCGTTCATCTATATGTTGTCAGTAGTGGTAGTGGGGTATGAAGTTCAAATAAAGCCTGAACATATTAACGGGACAAGCCGAAAACTATCGTCATAATGTCAAATTTGTATTCTTATCCCCAATCTTTACTTATTGTTATGCTATTTCATCTATCGCTTCACTACCAGCGATAACAATGCTATATCGACAATAATAAATTGACCCACGGGATATTGAAAGGACAGTTCATAACATAGAAATCTATACTACTTAAGGTCCGAGCGATGTCAATAATAACATACATAATGTACAAATACCCCATTTCTATTTAATATATTCGGATCGGCAATTACCGCATAATACAAAGTACAATATCAGCGTTTCAAATAATTGAAACGAACATTGGCTTACTACATGAACGTTCTCTTTCACCAAGTTAGAATAATACCCAAACACCTTCCTAAAAACCACCAACTTCGAATATCATATTCTGCACTCAACTGGATCAAATCTATAGGCGTAATTGACGCCCTTCGGCGAGCCAATGACAAGAAAATGGAGTCTGCGCCTGGGAACAAGCCAAAACCGTTAGAGAGATCATATTTGTCTGCAGCGGTTGAATCAATCTCACCATGGGGAGGTTCGCGAGCAACTACTCCTAAAGCAACAACACCCACATTCTCCGGAGAAGGTTCAGGATTAAAGAATCAACATGGCGGGACCACAGCACAAACCATTGGCATGGATGGAGCACTAAGAATTACCCTCAGGATTGTCCTCCGCTGAATCCTAGATGGTACCATGCTGTTGATGTAGGTATCCATATGTAGGATATTGAATTTCCAAGCTTACAAAATATAGATCCCCAAAAGAAAACCCAAAATTCTCAAGGCCAATCAAGAAGAAACCAAACCTGCAGCCCCTCCCAAGAAATTCGTCACATTTTCCGAACACGATTCTCGCGCAATAGAAGCTGCGTATCAAAAACTTGTCGAGGACTATGATAATGGAAGAGATCCGCGATCGAGAGCCCAGAGTGGTAATTTAGAACAAACTTCGGGAAGTGCAGGCGAGAAAGGAAATACGAGTATCAATGAAGCTGGGAATAATGAGGAGGCTGATAGAAGTATAAAGGTCCCAGTGCATGAGGATTTCTTATTCGATGTCGATATTGAAAAGAGAGAACTTGCGCCGGTATATTGGCTTGGCGCGATATTTGATGTTCGCAGAGGTAGTTGGTTCTACCAAGAGGGTGCAGTTCTCAAACCCTGTGAGGAGAATTTGGCCACGCAACTTGAGGAAGGATACCTGAAAGTAAAACCATTTCGTTATCCTAAACCTCCGGAGAAAAGTACTGCTAGGCCATTATCTATAAAACCAGGGGAAGAACCCAGATCATTGGCCCGCAGTGGTGCTTTTGGGAGTAGACGTAATGGCTCTCCCTCTGTGACTCCAAAAGGCTCGGCAGAGAATTTGAAATTGCCACAGCTGGCTTCTGACGACGGTAGTATACCAAAGGATTCGCCGCCACCCCACCAACCTCAGACCCATCGCTTGTTTGGCACATACATGAACTCCGTTGTTACCTATCAAGATGAGAATGTAGCCTGGATCTCAACTGATAACATCATGTCTCGGGTTAGTAGCACCGTGTATCAAAAGTTTGCGGGCGGTGGCTACCTAGGAGGTATAAAGGTTGTTCGTGGATATTCAGAGCCAGGTAAAACGAAAGACTTCTCTGCCGACAAAGACAAGACACCAAAAACTCCGACTAGCGCTGCCGCTGCTGCTTCGACTACTCCAGAGTATCTCCAGCTCGACGACCGTCAGCAAAAACTAATCAAGCGGCGGTCTGCACCTCCTAGCACAAGTAATTCTAATGCTTCGCCAGAAGACAATAGTACTGAGCTTCGGGAAGCAGCGTACAATAAGCTAAACTCTATAGATGTGGATGCAGAAGCTGAAGCTGTGAGGAAACGTGATGAGAAGGAGATGCAGAACGATTATAATGATCGAGACGATGAGAATCAAGGGCGTGATATTGAGCATTTAATTCTAGTGACACATGGTATTGGTCAACGCTTAGGTATGAGGTATGTGTTCAAGTTATTTTTCGCTATTTCATCTGCTTTTTCGTCACTAGATTGGCATTTTCCATGGTCCTACGTTGTTGCTGTATTCAGTTCTAGAGCTATTTTGTACACCGTTTGTAGAGTTTGATTTATGTCTACAGTAGTCTATAACAAATAGTTGTTAGGCTTTACTGTTGATCCTGAACGAAAGCAGGCTTCAGAAGATGATTTAATGATTTCTACCAACCAAATCATTGGAAAATTTACCTATCAATCTTACTTTTCCGCGCTCAATTTCTTACACAATTTCTGTTATTTTGTTGAGCAATTGTCAAATGATGTGCTAATTTTCAATAGAACCGAAAGTGTTAATTTCGTCCATGACGTAAACGTTCTTCGGCAAACGCTCAAAAACGTATACGAAAATTCTGCCGATTTGCAGGCTCTAAATGCGGAAATTGATAAACTCCCTAAAAATTGTCGTGTCCAAGTTCTTCCTATCTGCTGGCGTCATTTACTTGACTTTCCTCGCAAAGGTGTCAGGCAGAATCGTAAAGAGCACGATCTTGGTGACGCATTTGGTGAGGAGGAAGAATATCCAAGTCTTGATGATATTACTGTGGAGGGTGTACCATTTGTTCGCTCTCTCATCACTGATCTTGCTCTTGATATTTTGCTGTACCAGAGTGCTTACAGAGAACATATTAGCAATATTGTTCTTACAGAGGCAAATCGGATTTATAATCTTTTCCGGGAACGAAATCCAGAGTTTTCAGGAAAAGTCAGTTTGATAGGTCATTCTTTGGGATCGGCAATCTTATTCGATATTCTTTGTCGTCAGAGAGAAAATAAGAAACGAAATGCAAACTCTTCGCATTACAAGAATCGGTCTACCCCATCGTCATCATCACATAGTAAGAGTCTTGAATTTGAATTTGATGTCGAGGACTTCTATTGTCTGGGAAGTCCAATAGGATTGTTTCAGATGTTGAAAGGAAGAACTATTGCCGCTAGAAATCGCGTAGAATCATTACCATCCGAGAGTCCAATGGATATAGACTCTATGCAAGATCCATTTCTTGCAGCTAGCTCGGGTGCGGGCTTTCCATCTGGAGAACATATTTCCAGTACTACAGGATTGCCATACTCGATTTCAAGTCCTAAATGCGTTCGGTTATACAACATATTCCACCCAACAGATCCAATCAGTTATAGGCTCGAGCCTCTTATTGCTCCCGCAATGTCATCTATGAAACCTCAACTGCTACCCTATACCAAGAAGGGTATATTCGGTGCAAACATGAATCAAGGTATCACTGGCATTGGAGCAAAAGTAGGACAAAGTGTTAGTGGATTATGGTCTAGTCTCAGCTCCGGCATTGCGAGTAGTCTCCTAAATCGCAGTCTCGGTCTCACAGGCGAAGATGTCGAAAGGATGCAAGCATCGAATTCATCAAGCATCAAAGGCCAATCCGCGGGTGCGGGAACCAATATCGCAGGAGGAGTTGTTCCAGACCATCCTTCGCTACAGAGAGAAAATACTAGTGAGAAGATGAGACAGCTTGCGGAGGATACGGCGGCCGCAGATAGAGATGGTATGGGGACGGCGCCTACGTTGATTGATGATGAGATTGAGACTTTATATGCTGGGTTTCAAAAGCGAAGGAAGCATGATATGCCTGAAACTGATAGGGCAGAATTGGAAGAGAAAGCGAGGAAGTTGAAGAGAGAAGAGGCGAAAGTCAGAGCGTTGAATAATAATGGACGTGTGGATTTTAGTATTCAAGAGTATGTCCTTCATTTTCTGTTTTGTCCTGTTTAAACATTCCTCTTTCCCACGCATGCTTTTTGTTTTGGGGAGGAAAACAAAAATACTTGCTAATGAATGTGTATTTCAACAGGAGCGTACTAGATTTCAACCCAATCAACACCATCGCTAGCCATCTCTCATACTGGTATGTTTTCCACCTCCCCACCCCCCCTCTTTCTAAATACATCACACAAAAAGCGCCAACAGAAACCTACACATAATTAATTCACATAAACAGGGCCGACGAAGACGTATCGCATTTCCTCATCGGACAACTTCTCTCGCGTCATCGAAGCGTGACTCGCTTAAATAACTTGAATGATCCGAGGGAGAGGGAAAGAGACAGAGAGAGTAGTACTACGTATAAGAGTAAGAGGAAAATATGAAAAACATGAAAATATTAAGATATGAAAATGAAGGAGAAGGAGATTCTGTTTGGATATATCTCATCCTATCTCACAGAACTCCACAGCAAGACGATGAAATACAACACCAGACGATGCAATCCAATACAATCCAACACAATCCAAACAAATCATCCACCATCACAAACACAACATCCAAACAAACCATTCATCCACCCACACAACCCTCAGACTTCAATCCCATTACTCGAGACTCTTCTTTTCTCTTCCCCTCTCTCATCTCAGACTCCTATCAAATATAGACAGATTCTCGGAAAGCTCAGAAGGGGAAATTAGAAAGCAAAACCCGCCTCAATACAGGGGAATCAATATACGATAACACAGAAAACGAAAACGCCAAGAAGAAAGGGCAAGGGCAAGAGCAAGAGCAAGAGCAAGAAAAGAAGAGAAAAGGGAAAAATACTCAAAAACCAGGTGTCAGTCGCATGATGGTGTATGTATGCATTACGGAATGGATGGGGTGGGATGAGATCGGATGGGACGGGCGCAGGCATTTCGGGAGTTATATCATGTCATGTTATGTTATGTTACGTCATTGTGATGTATGTATTTTTTTGAAGGAAATATCAATTTGGTTGGGGAAGATATTCATTCTTTGACATGAAGTAGATGGTGGGTGGATGGATAGATGGATTATAGAATAGAATTCTACAACTAGACAAAATATTGTTGAAAAAAGCACATTCACAGTTACTAAGTGAGGACATACATCATCACTTTCTTTTACACACAATTGGAATAAAATATAGTGTTAATTATGTGCTCAATTTGAAATTTTTAATACTAGTAACTACCCATGAAAACTTATGACCACATTTGTATGCTGCTGCTGACCTAAAAGGAAGTCGAGGTTATGTTGCCAGTCCAAATCCTGGCTCGAGTCGTAAAGGTCTCGGGGAATCGAATCTAGAAACACAATGGTAAATTCAGGCAAAGAAGGAAATATCAGCAGCCAAAAGACACAATAAACTTTTTCCTGCCGTGTAGAAGCCTCAACCTAGGAAGGACCTATTTACTCGGCGGTGTCCAGTTCATCATGCGCTGGTGGAGGAGAATCCATGGTAACTGATGGGTATCAGATGAGTTAGAGATTGGATCGTAATGATAGTTTGAATGATGTGGATTCACCTTTCCTGTCATCTCCATTGGCTCCGGGTTCACGGACATCATCACGTTCTTCCTTAACTTCGCGATCCCTATTACATGGCGGGTAAGTTTATGTCCAACTCTGAATTTCTTCTGGAGTGCTTACCTATCGTCTGGGCTACGTGAGCGATCGGCTCGATCGCGATCTCTTCTGTCGTAGTCCCGGTCCCGGCGGTCTCGGTCATCCTTACGGGGAGAATAATCGCCACGGCCACGTCGGGGAGAGGTTGAACGACGACGAGGAGAACGGCGGCTACCTCCACCACGCTCTCTGCCGCTGTCTCTACCTCCATCACGACGGGCTGCACGTTCTTCACCAGTATCGAATCGCCAAGAAGCCGAAGGAGGTGTGCGGGCCCACTAATTTACGAATTAGAAATCGCCATTTCTGGTGATGTCATGAAGACTCACTTCAATCTTCAACAAGTCGTCGCGACCAATACGCTTGTTGTGCATTTCATGGTAGGCATCATCGGCATCACGACGGGACTCATACTCAACGAAGGCAAACCTACTGCAGGTGTCAACGATATTAGAGTGGTTACCAATAAGATATCGGGCATACTCACAGACGAGATGCTGCAGTTCGAGGAGCTGGGATATCACAGCGGACCAAACGGCCATAGCTATGAAGATATCGTTAGACTCAGTGTATCATCGAATGGGGAGTATATTGGACAGATATATGGATGAAAGTAAGAGATGTATAAGATTTGTATAATAAATAGTAATCGATCCGCCGCAATTCGAACTTTTCTCGCGAGACAAATGTAGGAATATAAACTGTTCGTATCGTTGTGCGACCGCTCGATCGAACGTGGAGGATTTGGGAAGAGGGGATAATGTATGCGACACAATTGACGGCGAAGTATCGACGGAGTAAGGGACGAGGATGGACGATGATGGGGAAATGGATTATCGCGATCAAGGACAATCATCGAGATATCGATTTTTAGCTGACATACCGTTCGAATTCGTAGGCAAGATCGCGAGCACGGATTCCAGCTCCGAAGCCCTAGATGAAAGATGTTAGTTACTATACACTTTGAAGCTTTAATATAAATATATAAGTTGGTGTGTGGAGGTTGTGGAGGTGGAGCGCATACGGTGACATAGAGTGTTGTACCACCACGAGACATTTTGTTAATTGAGAAAGATGACGAAGACCAATCGAATAAGATTTTCTTTGCTACTCAAGAGTTGACCGATATCAATTATGATATCTAGTATGAGTTCAAGTAGGCGAAGATATCAATCCTGATACTGTAAGTGAGATGGAGAGGTCGAGGAAGAAGATAAATTATTAAGTAGACTTGGGTGGTAAGGAAATAGAATAGAAGAAGCAAGCTTAGAGGAACCGAGACGACAAGAAGACAAGACAAGATGAACCTGGGAAAGTCAATTAAAGTTTTTTGAGAATCAGGCATTCACCTGCTAATAGCTGGTTATTGCCTTATTAACAAGGCACTCAAGAAGCCAAGGTTCGAGTCTGGATATCACATGACCATCAATACATTAGAGATTGATTGGAGTGGCTTGGTTTGCTTTCGAATCTCTTCTTGCAGGTACCAGGCACGCATGCATCTACTCAACTCACACAACTCACATTCCACATTCTAGTCTCACATTGTTCCGCATGAAATGAACCCAATCCTATTTATATTCACAGCATCCTCTTGATCCATCGCTAATACTTCTATGGTTTGGAGACAACTTCTGCCAGCGTTGTCACCGTTGTCGTTGCTCCAAGCATCGTTAAGAGAGAAACATCTTTGCCAAACTTCGTGAAGAGCCAATTTCGAATCTCGGCCGCTATCATACTATCGATTCCATATTTATTGATTGGTGTCTCAGTGTCGACTTCATCGAGATCCACGTATAGAAGCCTCGAGATTTTGTGTCGGATGCGTTCAACGATACTCAAACCTTCCGATTGATCTCCAGTCTCCTTGCCCAATGTCGTAACACCCGAAAGCATATGCGTAGCTTGGACCAAGTTGCGAAAACGTGGATCAAGTGACCAAGGCATGTCATCGATGGGATACTTTTTATTGATTTCTTGTAGCCCTGCAGGTTCAATTCCCACAAGAAGATGTCCTTGAGCTAGGGGATCAAATTCGTACGCTGTTGTTTGCGAAGCAGGACCAATTCCAGCATCGCAATATTGCAAGAATTCATCCTCGTCGTTACCATAAAAGCCGTTACGTATCATAGCTTGCTGGTATCTAATCGTGCACGTCGTTAGAGATGGAAATAAGGCTGACTTTTTCATATCTACTTACTCGGGCATATAACTGACGATTCCAATCCCAAGAACTTGGCTAAGCGATAAGGAAGTAGCAGGCAATCCCAGGCTTTGTCTGTAACGGGCAAATGCATCCATGAAAGCATTGGAAGAGAGGTAGTTGCTCTGTGTTGCTGTGCCAAACATCACTGTCCATGAGCTCCACATCTGAAAGAAGTCCAACGGTGAATCTTTCAGGGCCTCATGAAGATTTAGTGTGCCAATTACTCGAGGGCGTACTGTGGATTCGAATTGATCAAGGGTCATGGAACTAAAAAGTCCATCCTGACGAGAATATTAGCGATCGGATTTAGCACGCATAGCAGTGAAGATAGTCCAGGCTTACATGAAGTGTTAAAGCTCCTTGTATGACACCCTTGATTGGTAGATCAGTACTGCTGACTGCCGACTTGACATCCGCTAACGATGCAACATCACCCTGGACGATCTGAGTATTGACGCCTTGAAGTCGAAGCTGGCTGAGAAAAGCTTTCGTGTTCTTGTTCGAGTTTCCACTGCGAGAGAGATAAATCAGGTTTCGAGCACCTCGGTTGACAGCCCATCTGCTGAACGAACGTCCCAGACCCCCCAGACAGCCAACTAACAGATAAGCTGCATTTGGATCAAATTTCGATTTGAAAGGACTAAATCGTACCTTGTGATATGTTAGCACTAGATGCCATTTCTTTTCATCTCCGCATGGGAGTATTACCTTGAGTCCAATGCTACTCTTCTGTTCGTACCCGACAACAATCTTTCCAATATGGGCACCTTTGCCAAAAGTCATGAGAGCTTTGTCAATTTCTGAGACATGGTACGCTGTGTATGGTAGGGGTCGAATAAGGCCAACACGCTTGAAATGGTCTAAACTAGCCATTAGGCTTGAGAAAATTAGCCTCATTAAGTTACCTCGTTTTGAATGGTGTAAGGGTATACTTACTCGCCAATGACCTTTGGCCTCAAGTTACTCATTACCTCCAGATCGAAAGAAGCGAATGTAGCAGTTCGTTGAAAGACATCCAAATTGAGTTTCCCCTTTTCTAGAATCTCCGTTCGCCCAATCTCAACAAATCGTCCCATAGGTGCTATACAACGCCAATAATCATGCATCATCTCGCCCCGAGCACTACATAATATCACATCTATTCCTTTCCCTTTGGTGTAATCCCAGAGACTTTGCGCTGAATCGGCATCGCGCGACCAGAAGATGTGATCTTCGGTGATCCCGTAGCCCATTTTAAGGAGCTGTTCTTTCTTCTCCTTTGTTCCGACAGTGGCATAAATCTCAGCTCCACACAATCTGGCGATTTGGATAGCTGCCAGGCCAACTGCTCCAGTTGCTGATTGAATCAGTACAGATTCGCCGGATCGCAATCTTCCGAGATCGATGAGCCCGTATATAGCAGTGCAGAACGCGATGGGCAAAGTCGATGCACTTTCGAATGTATCTTCGGGTTGGAGCTTTTTACAGAAGCAAGCTTTGTCTCTAACAAAGTTCCCAAACTTCGCAAACGATTGACAATAGACTCGATCTCCAAGCTTCAGATCTTTTACAGCAGCCCCAATCTTGGTGATAACACCGGCACATTCGTCGCTAAAAGTATTGGAATGATGCCGACCTGTAACAACAGCTATATCTTTGTTGTTGATGCCGGCATAAGCGACTTCTATCTCAACGCAATCATCGGCAAGAGACTCTGTGAAGTCTGGATCTTCTTGAAAGTGGATTGTGCTCAAGACGCCAGGTTTGTCAATGGCCAACTTCAGAGGGGTGGATCTCACATCTGCAAGCTGAACCTCTTGTGTGGAAGTTTGCTGACTCCCTTTGGCCTTTGATTCTTCGTTCAAAACTTCATCTGGAACTACACGACTGATATAAACAATGCCGTTCTTTTGTCTAAATTCTACGTCACCGTGTAAGCCTGTCTTATTCGATATTCTGTCCTCGTGGCTCAGTAGCAGGTCAAGATCTTTGCTCTCGGTTGGATCGAGTGCACGATCAACATCAAGCATGACTAATTTAAGACTGGCATCTTCAACCTTGAGTCCACGGGCGAGTCCGGAAATCATTGCAAATTCAGGATTTTTGCCCTCTAGAAGATTTCCGCTTGTCACCCATAGGACGGAAGTAGCCTGTTTGAAATAGTTTTGAAGACCTGTCCATTCAGAAGGATTGATTTCCAGGAACAAAGGCCTTTCGAGCTCAACAACGAATAATAGCCGCTTGTATTGAAGTCGTTTGCTTTCCGACAATTCTAAGAGTTCTGCGGGCATGCCTTTCTGTTCAATGCGGGCTTTGAGAGCAACAGTGTAGGCAGATGGAGTGCTGCGATAAACCTTATAGTGGAATTAGCAAATATCGTGACATGGATGTACGCACTCAGAATGATTGAAAAACATACCAATGTTATCCCTGGTTGCGACGATGGCAAATCCGGATTTGGTGCAAGAGACGGCTGAGCAGCAGTTGCACAGATAACTGTTGCAGAAATATGATCACCTGCGTAATCATCCAAATGGAAATCAAGTCCCTTGAATCCCGCTTCTGGTAAAACTGCACGCCACATAGTCTTGCTTAGGAATGGCCCGTTGCGTCGCGGGAACTCTGTATCAAGATCACCCTTCCAGAAATCCGAAAAGGTTCCAAGGACCAAACCGGCACTCAAATTTGATCGTGTCAACTCAAGCAGAATAATCTTTCCCCCTGGCTTCAATGCGCTGCGAATGTTTTCGAGAGTTCTTTTGATGTTTGAGGTTGCATGGATAACATTCGATGCAACGATCAGATCCCACTCCGGCTGATATCCCTGCTCATTCGCGGGCCTCTCCATATCAAAGGCACCGAATGTCATTCCAGCAAAGTCTTTGAAAGTATCTTCTGCACCAGCTAGAAAGGAAGTTGTCGTATCTGTAAATCGATATTCTGCATACTGTCGCCATACTGTGTTGCCTTTCAGCGCAGGAAGAATCTCTCGCGTAGCACTACCGGTGCCTGCTCCAACTTCCAAGATCTTTAAGTCAGGTTGTTGATGGGCATATAGTGCGGCCATAGAAGCCAATCGCTTATTCCCTTCCTTGTACACTTGGCCGCTCTCGTAGTTGTCTATCAGCAAGTTGTCTTGTAATGCGACCTGAATTCCAGTCTTTCGGCCTGCGTATATGTCTGGAAGATTGTTGTAGAGATGACACATGAGCCGACATTCAGATGATTTTGGTTTTAGGTCTGCTGCGAATTTCTCAATTTTCTCTGCCCGCTGTTCATTTGTGAGATTGGAGATCTGGGTTGCAGGCGACAGAGGATCATTGCGCATACGATCTAATTGCTCAACCGTCCATTCGAGCATGCGTTGTAGATGCGGAACCTCTGATCCTTTGGCAAATATCTCCTGGTGTGTTTCCCGAAACTGTATGAGTTGATACAGCGCTAAAAGATTTAGAGAAGGCAGGACCGCACTGTCATCTAATGTGATAGGTGGGAAAAGTCTCGATACAAGATCATCATCAAGCTCTTCGAAGAGTGGCTTCCAAGTTAATCGCAGATAAGGACTGTCCTTTTTGCTGGGTATCAAAGAGCTCTGGTCTGATGCAATGAGGAGGACATCTTTGGCTTCAAGGATCTTGCTTTGTGTGTCACCAAGCAGTATCAAATCTGCCACCAACCCTCGTACCCCTTTCAACGCACCTCTAGCGACGCAATGCGCGGAGGCTTTTGTGGACTTGGCTACTTTTGGCCAAATTTTAATGCTGCCGATGCTAACAGGCATAACCGCTTTCTTAAATTTGGTAGCAGTGCTTGAATGTGAAGCTACAATAGAGAGTTGCATTGCTGCATCGAAAGCTGCAGGATGGATTACA